GGCGCCCCCTCCCCGAGGCTTCTGCCCGGCCCCGCCAGGGGAGCCCCTCGCGGGATGGCGCGCGAGCCCAGACCCCGAACTCTTTAGGAAGGCTGGACGGGCGCTGAGTGAGCACCTGCACCAGGCCTTAGGGTTATCAGGGGCCGGGTGACCATGGCCGCTGTCACCTTTCGGAACTGTACAATGAGGACTTCCTGAGGACTTTGACCTCAGGCCCTCCCACCCCGAGATCCAGGATGTGGGCTTCTCCACATTTACCAGTGGACAGGGGCTGACCTGACCTCTGACCTCAGCCCTGCTGGACACCGCAGCCTCTTCCCACACCTTAAGATCTGAGTTGATCAGAATCTGTCACGGGAGGGTTCAGTAGGCTCAGGCCTTGATCCCTGGTCCCCGCCCCTTAGTCCTTAGTGGCTTCTGGTGTCTTGGTTAGAGGACCCCAGAGGGATGAGCTCCCAGTGCCTGCTCCTCAGCTCTCAGGACTTGGGGGTCTTCCAACTGAACAGGCCCCTGGAAGCCCACTTGGGCAACAGGATGTTCTTTGACCATGACCTGGCAGACAAGCCTGAGCCTCTGCACCCGTGCGGGCTGTGAATTGTTTAGCTGAGGTGGGCGCACTGGCTGAGGTGCTGGACAGTAGGAGACGGGAGGTCAGCAGAGCATGAGGCCTCTGTTTGGTAGAGGGGCTCCTGCTGGGCACAGGGTTGAGAGAAGTGCCAGGTAGGATGGTCAGTGGCATGGTCAGAGTGAGATGTTGGAGGGGCTGCAGTCTGCCCATCAGAGAGGGAGTTCATGGGGTTGGGGCCTTCAACACCGACCTTGGCTGTCTTGTGTGCCTGGGGAGAAAGATCCAGTGGTGGCTGCCCAGGTGAGATGTTGCTACATGGGTCTAAGTGAGAGGGGTGAAAGCCCTGAGGGAAAAGATGTCCCCAAGGTGCCAGGGTCTGGCAGCCTGTGAGCCAGCAGTGGTTCCTGGTGCCGTAATTGGCCCTCAAGAGGAATGTCGACAGCCTCGCTCCTCCTGCACAGGCCACTTTTCCTTGGGAACATGCCCGGCTGCTGATCCTCAGCACACCTTGAGACTGTGAGTCTGACAGAGGGAGGGAGTCCTTCCACCTTGGTCATGCCTTATGTCGCTTGCTTTCCCATGTGACAGACACAGGAGGGCAGGTCTCCTGGCTGGCCAGAGAAGGCCTATCAAGGAGAAGCTCTGGGGCAGCCCTGCTAAGCCCCACTGAGCCTCATGGGTCTGTGCACTTACTCCACAGAGATGACTGATCCCTTCTGTGTTGGAGGAGGCCGCCGGCTCCAGGGGTCCAGCAAAAGTGGATCTGGGAAGGGTAGCAGCCGGAAAGAGGTCCGACTTCCCATGCTGCAGGACCCACCAAAGCTGGGTGAGGACCCAAATCCCAAATCAATTCCAGAGGGTCATGGATAGCCAGTGGCAGAACAGGCCACCTCCTTGTGTCCTGAGTGCCTCAAGGCCTTCCTAGGGTGGGAACTGTCTTAGATGGAGCCTGGAGCCTGGATTCCTGTCCTGGGTTTGCCAAAGCCTCGTCCCTGTGTCTTAGTGTTGTAGAGCCAGGGCTCAGTCCAGGCCTGCAAGCCCTTGGTAGCTGGTGATCCTGTGCGCCCCCTGAGTCCTGCTGCATTGTGTGTTGCAGGGATGCCCGTGGTCCACAGTGGACAGACAGTGCCTGGCCAAGCCCCACTCTGCTTTGACCCAGGAAGTCCAGCCAGCGACCGGACAGAAGGGAAGAAAAAGGGGCGGCCAAAAGCTGAGAACCAGGCCCTCCGAGACATTCCTGTGAGCTTCCTGAGCCTGGGTGGGGCTTATGCTAGGTCTGCCTATGGAGGCCACTGCCTTGCCCTTACCTGCTCTCTGAGTAACCCCTCCCAAGTTTCAGGCTGGGGCCTGGGACCTTCCCATCTGATGTGTTGTGAGATCCGATGGACCATGTTAGTGGCCCCTAGCACAGATCTGGAACAGGGCTTGAATTGCTGCAGTCCCTAAGTTGAGGGGCTCATGTGGCCTCTGTGCCATGTAGGCCTGGGGAGGGCTCTGGGTCTGGAGCACGGGTTGGTAGAGGCCTGGGTGGCTGAGGGTCAGCAGCCCAGCCTTTCCCTATGCCCAGCTCTCCCTTATGAACCAGTGGAAGGATGAGTTCAAGGCACACTCAAGGGTGAAGTGTCCAAACTCGGGGTGCTGGCTGGAGTTCCCCAGCATCTACGGGCTCAAGTACCATTACCAGCGGTGTCAAGGGGTAAGAGGCTATGGGTTGGGGAAGAGGAGCCTTGGGGGGTATGGCTGGGCAGAGGCCCCTGGGCCTTCTCCCACACTTGCTCTCCCTGCCCAGGGTGCCATCTCAGATAGGCTGGCCTTCCCCTGCCCTTTCTGCGAGGCTGCATTCACCTCCAAGACTCAGCTGGAGAAACACCGGATTTGGAATCACATGGACCATCCCTTGCCTACCCCGAAGCCTGGCCCAGTCAGCCGACCGGTGACCATTAGCCGTCCTGTTGGAGTCAGCAAGCCCATTGGAGTGAGCAAACCAGTTACTATTGGAAAGCCAGTGGGAGTCAGCAAGCCCATTGGCATCAGCAAGCCTGTCACAGTCAGCAGGCCCATACCAATTACCAAGGCCATGCCAGTCACCAGGCCTGTGCCAGTCACCAAGCCCATTCCAGTTGCCAAACCTGTGCCAGTCACCAAATCCATGCCAGTCACCAAGCTTGTAACAGTTACAAAACCTGTGCCGGTCACCAAGCCAGTACCAGTGAGCAGGCCCATTGTGGTCAGCAAGCCAGTACCAGTCAGCAGGCCTGTTGCCATCAGCAGACACACACCACCCTGCAAAATGGTGCTGCTGACCAAGTCTGAGAACAAAGCACCGCGTGCCACAGGGAAGAGCAGCAGTAAGAGAAGGTACAGGAGCTCACTCCAGGTGGGGTGTCTGGTTGGGTATGCCTAGGGCTGAGGGCCAAGGCCAGTCTGCCTGGCCCTTACCTCATCTGCTCTCTGCAGGGCTGCAGACAGTCTGGACACCTTCCCCATCCCACCCAAGCAGGCCAGGCCAGAGAATGGAGAGTATGGCCCATCTACCACAGGCCAGAGTACAGCCTTCCAACTGAGCACGAACCCCAGCAATAGCTCCCTGCTGCTGGGAAGCAGACCCTCAATGGGGAAGGAGGTGCTGAGGCCCACAGGCCCTGTGTCCCCACCTGAGGAAGACCCAGAGCGCACAAAGCACAGTAAGATGAGAGCCCCAAGGGCAGCAGCTAGGGCAGGCTCGGCCTCCGTATGGTTATTTGACCAGAATCTTGGTTTCTGCTTTCTCTCCCCCGAGTCAGGAAGGAAACAGAAAACACCCAAGAAGTTTACAGGGGAGCAGCCATCCATCTCAGGGACCTTTGGGCTCAAAGGTGAGACCTCAGCCTGCTGGACCCCTCCAGAATCAGGTGGGTCCACAAGTATGCTGGCACTCTCAGCCCATGGCCCCCCATCCCACTTTACATGTGTACACAGGCCTGGCCAAAGCCGAGGACAAGGCCCGAGTTCACCGATCCAAGAAGCAGGAGGGCCCGGGCCCCGAGGACATGCGCAAGAAGGTGCCAGCTACCTCCATCCCTGTCAGCAAGGAGGCGCCAACTCCTGTGACCCACCCAGCCCCAGGTGGGGGCCGCCTGTCAGAGACTCAGGGCAGGTCTTGATGGTGGGATGGGTTCTTCAACACAAGCATGCAGGCCAGCTGTGGAGCCTAGGTGCTACACCCAGTGCCCAAGGCATCCAGGAGCTCTGCAAGTGCCTGAGGCTGCCTTTTCCAGCCTCGTGGGCTGTCAGTACCACCAGCGGGAAGCCACCCTTCGAGGTAGACAGCCCCTCCTTCCTCTGGCCCTTCCTCACAGGTGGCCCTGAGGAGCAGTGGCAGCGAGCCATCCATGAGCGGGGGGAGGCTGTCTGCCCTACTTGCAATGTGGTCACCCGGAAGACACTCGTGGGACTTAAGAAGCACATGGAGGTGTGTCAGAAGGTAAGGCTCGGAGGCCCTGGGGGAGGGGAGACTCTGGCCCTCACTCTGGTTCTGACGCCTGGCCTATGTCCACAGCTGCAAGATGCACTCAAGTGCCAGCACTGTCGGAAGCAGTTCAAGTCCAAAGCTGGCCTCAACTATCACACCATGGCTGAGCACAGTGCCAAGGTATGTTCTGTGGCTGTCATCTCCCCATCGAACCCTGATGCCTGACCTCGTACCCCACTCCATTCCTGTTCCCTCACCTGACCCTGGACCACCTTGCCCCAAACCCTGGGCTGGTGTCAGGTCTGAGGCTCGTTCTATCTCCAGCCCACTGATGCTGAAGCCTCCGAGGGGGGTGAGCAGGAGGAGCGAGAGCGGCTGCGCAAGGTGCTGAAGCAGATGGGGCGGCTGCGCTGCCCCCAGGAGGTCAGTGGAGGGGCACAGGCAGGGCACAGGCTTGGGGGAAGGAATTAGCACCTTACTGGCTGTTTATCCGACCTCTGACCTGACCTCCAGGGCTGTGGGGCCGCCTTCTCCAGCCTCATGGGCTATCAGTACCACCAGCGGCGCTGCGGGAAGCCACCCTGCGAGGTAGACAGCCCCTCCTTCCCCTGCGCCCACTGCGGCAAGACCTACCGCTCCAAGGCGGGTCATGACTACCACGTGCGCTCAGAGCACACGGCCCCGGTGAGTGGCCTGTGGCCCTCCATCTCCTCGTGGTACTCACATAGCCTGTGCTATGGCACCATGCTCTTTCCCGTGTGTTAGCATGCCAGTATGCCTTCTGATAGGTATGATCTCTGCCCTCAGTAACTCACTTGTGTCCCAGTGTGTGAGGTGGTAGGCACCTGGGACCCCTGAGTTGCCTGTGTTGCCCATGTCCTCCACACACTTGTGTGTACCTTGGGTCCCTGTGCCTTCAGGGGCCTTGCATGGCCTGTACCTCCCACAGACTCTGACTCACTGCCTTTGGCTGTTCTGCCTCGGTGGTTCATCTAGTCTTCTGTGTGTCCCCGCCCTGCAGCCTCCTGAAGAATCCATGGACAAGTCTTCTGAAGCAGAGGACCTGCTGGGTGTGGAACGTACCCCAAGTGGCCGCATTCGCCGCACATCGGCCCAGGTTGCCGTGTTTCACCTGCAGGAGATTGCAGAGGATGAGCTGGCCCGTGACTGGACCAAGCGGCGTATGAAGGACGACCTTGTGCCTGAGACTGCACGGGTCAGTTCCCCAGCTGAGTACACAGGCAGTACTATGGCTGTGGTCACGCCCTGACTCCCCCTCTGAACCCCCAGCCTGCTGGTCTACCAGCAGGATTTGCCTCAGCCGAGAACTCCTTGTGACAGCCATATTCCTTTTCTGCTGACCTTGGCTGAGGGGCCAGGGAACCTGTTACCGAGGCACATGGTCTTGGGTAAGAGGGTGCCTTGGCCTGAGGCTCACTTTGGTGTTGTGCCTGGCTTTACAGCTCAACTACACTCGGCCAGGCCTCCCTACACTCAACCCACAGCTGCTGGAGGTGTGGAAGAATGAAGTCAAAGAGAAAGGCCACGTAAACTGCCCCAATGATGTGAGCTGGGGTAGATGGTGGGGCAGATGGGAGGTTCTGATGTGGTGGGGCAGATGGGAGGTTCCAGGACAGAAGGCCCAGGTGTGACTTTTTGGGTAGCAGCAAAGGCTGAGACAGACATGTCAGGCAGTGGCCACCCTTAAGGTGACCAGTCCACCTCTGATTCTGGGCTCCAGCAAGGTCCTCTTATGGGACCCTGTCAGCAGAAGGGGCCTCAACTTTAGGCCCAATGTACCCGACTTGCCACACCCCAGGACTCCCGGGGCCAGAGCCCTCCATCTGCCCCCAGAGAAGCCCCAGAACTCCCTGGGGCTAAGGCAGGGTGCACCTTTGTGTGGGACGCCTCAGGAGGACCTCTCCCCACGGCTGTCTCCTGCCTGCAGTGCTGCGAAGCCATCTACTCCAGTGTGTCTGGTCTCAAGGCCCATCTTGCGAGCTGCAGCAAGGTCAGTTTGGGGGCCTCTCATGGCCTGATATGTGCTTAGCACACCCAGCTCTCTTCTGTCAGGGGTCCCTGCATTACCATGAGATCCTGCCTTGCTCCCATGCATGGTTTGAGACTAACCAGTGCTACACAGCTAGACCCCACCCTGTCCCCTGCTGGTACCCACGAATCAGTCAGTCCCAAGCCCTGCCCTTAGGGTTCTTGTGTATGGATGTGAGTGTGTAGTCGCCCCAACCAGGGCAGAAGGCACACTGACTTGGGATAAGGATCCTCAGCAAACTAGGCGTCATGGCACAGACCTGTAATCTCTGTACTCTGGGAAGTTAAGGTAGGAGGATCACAAGTTTAAGCCCAGTCTGAGCAATTTAGCAAGACCATGTTTGGAAAAAAAATAAAAAGGGTTGGAGATCTAATTCAGTACAAAGGTCCTGAATTTAATACCCAGTGCTGCAGGAGCAAGAGGTGGTGTTCCACAAAGCTCTGTAACCTTCCCTGGGGTACCAGCCTCTTCCCATTCTCTTCTGACCCCGCAACCTCCCTACAGCAGAAACAATTCAGTGATCCTGTTGCAGAGTGGCATTGGGATTTCTAGAGCCCACCTGTTGGGCCCCTGTCCTGGCACAGATAGCACAGCTTCATCTGGGTGTCCCTGACCGCTTCGCAGGGGGATGAGGGCTTTGGTGTTCTGAGGGTCAGATTCTAGGTTGCCCATGTATTTCAGGGGGACCACCTGGTAGGGAAGTACCACTGCCTGCTGTGTCCCAAAGAGTTCAGCTCCGAGAGCGGTGTCAAGTACCACATTCTCAAGACTCATGCAGAGGTGCGAGAGTAACACAGGGCCTGCAGCAGGGGATGTGTGTGTGTGTGTGTGTGTGTGTGTACATGCGCACACGTGGTTGGGCCAGGAAGGGTAGGGGGCCAGGTGTGGTGGGGAAAGGGTGTGCTAAGTGGTTGGTGTGTTTGAACAAGTAACCAGTGGTGAGAAGTCTGGGAGTATCTCCTCAAAGTGATGTCCTGCTTCCATGGACACCAGGGTGATTCCTGGGTGGGAACCCTGCCCCTCAGCCACTGAACTGCAGTTGGCCTGAAGGTGGCTGCGTCTGCAGCACTAGAGCAGGATCCCAAGTCCTCACTGCTACTTTTCTCTTCCCAGAACTGGTTCCGGACCTCAGCGGATCCACCTCCTAAACATAGGAGCCAGGACTCCTTGTTGCCCAGGAGAGAAAAGAAAAAAAGTCTGGTGGGCGGGAAGAAGCGGGGCCGAAAGCCCAAGGAACGGCCCCCTGAGGACCCTACGCCCAGGCTTCCCCCACGCCGGGATGACTGGTCCCTGGGAGGCAGAGACAAGGGGGCTCGGGGCTCCACTGGGCGGAAGGTGGGAGCTGGCAAGGCACCTGAAAAGTGAGCCTAGTCTGTAGGATCTGACCCCCATGCCAGCTACCAAGCCCTACTCTGTCCAGTTCAGAGGAACCAGCTGTAGACCTGACCTCCATCCCCATCCCCCATCCATCTGTCCAGTGGGAATGGCCAGCCACTCACCCCTCTCTTTTCAGGCTGCTTGGGACACATCTGGGTTGGTCTCTCCCAGGGTGCCAGGTCAGTAGCAGAAGTGCAATAGCTGGGAGCCAACCCTTCCTGGGAGGACATTCATAGGCCTGGCAGGGGCAGAGGCCTTAGCACTATGGGTGATGCAGTACAGAGCAGTCAGAGGCCTTTGGTCCCTGTCTCTACTTCAGGCCCAGCTAGGTCCCTGCCCTGGCTCCCCAAGCCCCCCAGTGACCTGTGGCTCTGGGCTGATAGCACTTGAACAGCTGTGGCTGCTCCCACCTGGACTCACCTCTACCTGACACTGGAACTCCAGTACCCCAGCTACCTCCCAGGACAGACCCTGTCTGACCACTGCCGTGTTGACCTGATCCCACCTGCCTGCCCTTTTCTACCCACTCTGGTTCCTCTGCTGTTTTCTACCTCTCTGGGCCTGTTCCTCCCACCCCCACCCCTGGCCGCATCCCCCATCTATGTCACCCCTGCTGTGCTTTAGGCCCCACCCCACTGACTTGTGTAATTGTGAGGGGGCTTTCCTGAAAGGTCCCCAGCAGTGCATCCTGCTTGGGGCAAGAGAACCCTACTTAACTCCACTGTCAGGGTAACAGGATAGCTGGGGCTGGAGCCCCCGGCACATAGGGGCAAGCTGGCATGTCTTGCCTCCAGCCTGTGGCGTGAAGTCTCCATGGGGCCAAGGCTGGGCAAAAGGAGCTCAGCTATGAGGAGTCACCCCTGTGGGAGACAGCTTCCATCTACCAGGCAGGACTGCCACAGGCCGAGCTCCTGTGGAGGCCATCCTTCTGCCTTTCCCTTTCTTTACCTGCCCCTGTGTATCTGGTGGCATGGTCATTTGATACAGGAACTGAAGGCCAGTGAGTGGAGGGGCCATGACCAAGGTGGCAGCTCCAGGGCTGTGTCTTCTTTGGGGCTCTGAGGACTGGAGGGTCTGCAGGTTGGGCAAGGGTCAGGCAGGGACTCCAGGGTTCCTTGAGGAGGTGTCCACACAGCCTCTGGCCACCTCCCTGGCCTCACCTTCCAACACTGGTACAGGGAGGAAGTTGCTTAGAGGAACTCTTGGACTGAGGCCATCTTCCAGTGGGGGGTGGGGGTGGGCTGAAGGCTCGGCCTCACTGATCCTGGATGATGTGAATTTTGATATTTGCCTGTGTGCGTGTCTCCTGGGTGTAGTGGATGCCAGTCTTGTTGCTGTGACAAGTAACAACTTTTTTAAATTCTGTTTTTTATACAAAAATTCACAACAATCTGACATTTTGGTGCTAAGGGTTTCCTGGTGCCGAAGGTGGGCCTGAGCTGGGCTGACTGTGGCCAGGCCCCTCTGCTGCCCAGGGGGCTGTGTTGACTGGGTACCCCCTCTCCCAGCATGGCTGAGGAGCTCTACTTGGGCAGTCCCAGCCTGCAGTAGGGAGAGCACCCCCAGAGGGCTTTGGGGGTGTTGTGCTTTTCCTGTCTGGGAAGGCTGACTCTGGACAGCCTGAGGAGGGGTGTAGAGGATATATATTACTCCCCCACACACCTTGATCCTGTTCAGAGCATGGCAGCTAGGCAGAAATGGGTGTGGTCCAGCATCGAAGAGTAGTCTGGGACTTTCGGGCAGGAGGGCTGCTCTTTCTATGTGTATTCTGAGTGCTACAGTGGTGTGCAGCTGTAGAGGGGAGGCCCTGGTACACAGCCCTGTTACCTGTGGTGGAGGAGGTTAGACCCCCACACCTTTCTGCAGGGTGTGGCTGTCTGCCCCAGCCTCTCAGGTATTTGGCGCTTGAGGGGAGGAGGGTAGCCCATTTTTTGCTGGGGGTTTGTGTCTAGGACACCCCTCAAAGCTCACAGGTAGTCCCTTGTGTGGAAAGTGGGGGTCCTGGATAACTTGATGTTTAGCACTTTAACTCCCTTCTTTGTCTTTGAAGTGGGTCTGGGGGTTGCTGCCAGAAGTGGCTATTGGGTTGGACCCCTCCCTCTGTCCCTCCTTCCTTCTGACACTAGCTGGTGAGGAGCAGTGGCAAGCTGAGAGTCCTCGGTCTAAGAGGGTAGGGCCCTGGGCAGGCCTCTGCAGGTTTGCCCTCTTTCCAGTCATGGCCAGATGACCACTGGCCTCCACAGACAGTCTCAGTAAGAGGGACCAGCATGGCAGACCCCCAGGTCTGATGAGCATGGACCTTGGAGGCCCACACCCTGGGACCTTGGCAAAATGAGACCGTTGAGGTCTCAACTCTGCAGATCTACCTCTGGCCCAGCGCAAGCCCTGCCCTCAAAACAGAAAAAAGTGCCCCAGGGGCTGATACTTAACACAAAAATGGGATGCACTTTATTTGCTCCTGCACAGGCAGATGAGGGTGTGTCCTAGGTTCCAGTGGGCTTTCCTGTCCCTTTAGTGGTTCTGAAAGGAGACCCTGGGAGGGCAGGCTGTCCCTATGAGGCCTTGCTGGGTGGGCCCAGGCAGCTTGCTTTGAGTCTGGGTTTAGGAGGGTCAGTGGGTCACCCCTTCTGCCTAAAGGCCATGCGTCCTAAATTTTAGGTATCTTGGTTTTTTTTTAAACGCAGTTCTCAGTACACAAGTGCATTTTGAAAGACAGGTTCCAGCTATCACTTGTAACCATATATATACATATATATTCTATCTACAAAGTGTTTATTTGCAAGATGTTTTGACGGTGAGCTTGGGCCTTGCCCGCCTTGTGACCATCTGTCCCCATCCTCGGCTCCGCCCCGCCCCCTGGACCGGAGTGGGGGGGCAGGCCATCAACTGTATGTATTAGAAATGACTGTATCAAATAAATGTTTATTGATTTCTTTTCCAGGGTATTTTGTGCGGCTGAGTTTGTGCTAAGGCGCTAGGAAGCCGGCGCGCTGGCGCGCCAGCGCGCGTGGCCTTCTGGGACCCGTAGTCCGCGGGCGCCCCGGGCTCCTGCGGGCGTTCCCGGCAGCCGCCTGCCCTCCCGGAGCCATGGCTGCCCCGCCAGCCTCCGCGGATGCCGCCCCCTCGCCCCCGCCGCCCGCCGCAGCCCCGGACGGGCCGGGCCGGCAGGCAGAGCACAGCGAGGCTGCGAGCGAAGACCGGTAGGCGCGGCTCGGGCACGGCAGGGCGGGGGTCGCGCGCGCCTCTCCGCCCGCGGGGAGGGGTCGCGCAGCCACAGCCCCGCGCGTTGGCACCTCCCAAGGAGGAGCGGGGCAGTGGGGAGCCGACGGCCTGGCGGGCCCAGCGGCGGGCAGCGGAGGCACCGGGTGGCCTCAGCCTGCGTTCCGGGCCCGGGGCCTTCGCCCCTGAGCACCAGGTGGGCTCTGTGCCCCGCTCAACCCCCCGGGTGGGTCGCGTTAGGGCCGAGGGTCTCGCCGACGGCCAGCGATGGGTCCGCGGCGGCGTGGGGAGGCGCCCTACCGCCCCGCCGGTGGGGCCCGCGTGGCTCTGGCGCTCTCGGAGCACGAGGAGAGGGCAGCGGCCTCGAGGAAGCCGGTCCACCGGGTTGGTCACACGCCGCGGCGCCCTCGGGCCGTGGCCAGCAGGGGGCGCAGGCTGCGCTCCTCGGTCAGCCCGCGGCCGCAGGACCCGCCTTCCCCAGCCGCCGCCGCGCGGAGTAGGGCGCCCGGGCTGCGGGGCGGACGGCCCTCCAGGCCCCTCCCCCTGGGCGGGCGGGGCCGGAGGCTGCGGGGCTCGGATCTGGAGCTCTGGTGCTCGAGGAGCCAGGGTCCGTGGATGTGACCAGGAGCAAAGGCCACGGCCAGCTACTCCGAGGGCTGCTGAAGACGCCGACTGTCCTGGGCTCGGCGGCCGCGCGGGGCCCCTGACGGTCGGGGCGCGGGGCTGCTGCGGCTGGGGTCGAGGTACACCTCGAGTCCGGCCAGGGGCTCTCAAGCTCGCCCCAGGCGCCTGCACGGACCTGTACCTGCCAGGCTCGCGGCTCTGTCGTAGGCGGCCTGGGGCCTGTGCGGAACAGGGAGGGCCTCGGCGGCTGTGCGTGGAGTGAAGGAAGGCCGTCCGTCAGCCCAGCGCGGCGGGAAGCAGCAGCCCGCTGGGGAAAGTGCCCCACCGTGCCAGGATGCGCCCCTATCCCTGCATCCGCCCTGCGAACGCTGCCCTGCTGTCTTGCCCCTGCAGCCCATGGCTGGGTGCTGACTCCAAACGCTGCGCTTGTGGCAGCAACGCCTGAGGAAGGGCTCAGAACAGCCCTGCGCCACGGCACGGGTTCTCAGTCCTCTCTTTGTCCACTCGCGGTACATGACAAGCCTTCTTCTCCACAGGCCCTGCCTGGATTGTGGTTTCTCTGGCTGGGGTCGCTCTCTGCAGGGCGACCTACTTGGGAGTGCATGTCTGTGCTTTCCTCCTCATGATGCCACTACATGTGGGCCCCATAGGGCCAGTGAGAAACTGCTTTGGTCCCCAGCCCCATAGAGCCCTGCTGCTGCCCGTGAGGAGGGCAGAGGCCAGCCACAGCTCCGGGGTGGGTAGTGGAGGAGTCTGAACCATCTGACCGTGCCACGAGCCTGAGTCACAGAGGAGATTGGGAAGCTTCTTCCAGCAGCCCTGGAACCTGAAACGGGAGAGATCTGCGCAGAGGTGTTTAGCCAGGTGGGCTCTAGATGTGGCTGGCTGACCAAGGATATTAGCACCCAGGGGAGGAGCTGGCAGTGTGAGGTTTTTTTGCTAACTCCAGCCGGGCATAAGGACTTCCTGGACCTTATGGGCGGGGACTGGTGAGCCAGACCTGCTGGCAGTTGTGTGGCCAGAACCTGGCAGTTCTGTTAGTACCCTAGATGTGCACCTGGGTCGGGATCAGGTCTTCTACTAGACCCCCTCATTGGGCGGGTTTTCCCACAGACCTGTAACTTTTCGCACCAGTCAGGGATCTTGGCCATCTGGGGTACCCAGGAAACATGCCAGGTTGTCCAGGCTGACTCCCCCCTCTACTGCACAGACAGTGCAGGTGGCCGATCACCTGGAGCCCAAGTCTGCAGCCTCGTCCAGGGGAGCGTCAGCCTCTCCGAGCATGGGCCAGGCCCCACTCATTTTCCCAGGCTCAGGGTGCAGCCAGCCAGCCACCTGTGGCACTCCTGCTTGGGTAGCCCCTGGAGGGGAGGCAGGACAGGCTGCCTTCAAGGCAGATCCCAGCAGTACCCCTTTTTCAGATGTGTGAAGCCCATGTGGGGTCTTCCTTTTCCCTGAGCCTTGGCCAGCCCATCTCGAAGCCACGGCAGGAGGGAACTGGCACACACAATCCTCCAACCCCAGGTGGTGGCATGGGGCCAGCCAGAGCCTCTCAGTGCAGATCCCAGAGTCAGCAAAGGAATTTCAGCTGTTCTACCCTTGTCAAGGGTGGGGCCAATTCCTCCCTTCCGTTGCTGTGGGTAGGGAGGTGGCAATGTCCCCTGTAGACTGCTGAGCATTGGCTGGCTACAGGGACCTGCTGGAGCCTCTGTGAGGTGGGGGTGGGGCAGTTATTCTTGGATGCTGCTGGAGGGTAGAATTTCAGATTTGTTTATGCCTGTAGGAGGCACCTTGGAGCCAAAGGTGGGGCGTCCAGCTCAGCACCAACATTCAAGTCACCTGGTCACCAGGAGAGGCCTCAGATTTCCCTGTCCTATTGGTAGGGTGGGGGTGGGGATGAATTTTCTTCAGGAATTTGTGGGAGGGGTGCTGGAGCACAGTGGTCTGCAGCAAGCCCCAGGCAGGCGAGCCTGTAAGCCTGTGCAAAGGCAGGCAGTCCACATGCAGGGCTGGCCTGGGGACTGCAGGCCACAGTAGGCAAAATCAGTGCTATTAATATCTGGCGCGTGAGCCCCAGCTGGGTGATCCTCTTATGCCTGTGGCTTTGGCTTCTGAGGCCAGCAGCAAGGATATGCCTTAGTACGGTGGGCTCCTCGGGCTTCCCAGCTTCTGTGCCTCGACTCCCTGCATAACGCAGACAGCCTTTGTCTGCCAGGGCTCTAGCCCCACCCAGCTCTTTACCTGCTGTGCTGCCCATAGGAGTGGTTCCACCATGGAGGGCCAGTTCAGGCAGCCAGAGCTCCTGAGCTGTGGTGGGAAGCTGCTGTGGATTTAAGAGGATGCGATGCCTCCCCTAACTGCCAGCGCATAAGCCACACACTCCTGGGATCACCCCGCTGTCCAGGAGCACCCACCTCCAGGATCCCTGTGCCCACTGCGTCCTTAGCCATGAGCAGCCCCCCTGCTTACCCTGGCATCAGGATCTCAGGGTGCTGGGCCCTTGGACCAGAAGGCAGGTGAGTCACAGCAAAGTCCCTGCTGGGGAGGAGAGTCTGCCTTCACAGTGGTGCTGGCCACTCCGCACAGTGTGTGGTGCAACCTTCGTGCAGTACGTGTCTATGGATATCAGAAAACAAACAGGCTGGCAGGCACTCTGGGGAGCCTGCACAGCTCAGGCTGCAGGCGCGGTTTTGCTTAGGGCTGTGGGTTGTGAGTGCGTCTTGTGTCTGCTTTGGCCCTTAATCCTTTGAGCTGAGATTAATTTTGGTCAGAAGCACCCTTGTCCATCCGTGGATGGGAAATGAGGTCTTGTGCAAACTTTCCTTCTCTAGGGGTAATTCACGTGAGACAGCCAAGCTGGGCTTGGTGAGGACCCAGCCTGGCATTGTCTGGGTCCATCAAAAGCAAGGTCAGGCAGCTTTCCCCTCCAGCCTGCTTGTAGCTGGTTGCTCTTCCCAGCAGGTCAGGACCAGGCTCGGCAGCACGAGCCTTGCCGGGTAGCCATGGCGGTCGTGACTTCAGTGTGGTGAAGAAGTGTCACTGATAGGGGCTGTATAGTGAGGACCAAGGAGAGCAGGGGCAGCTTCAGCCCCTGACTCTTGGCCCGCATCTGTTCAAGTTGGTCCTGCGTTATACCACTGGCTGTATACCGCTCACCGCTGGGGTCCAGAGCTCACCACGGGCAGCTGTGGGAGTGTTAGGAGGCCCCTTACCCTTACCCCATTCAGATGTTCTGGGCTGGGGAGTTACCTTGAGGCAAAAGGGTGATTCCCTGCAGCTGGTGGGGGAAGCACAGAGAAGAGGGGCCAACCTGTGTTTGTTGTCTGCTTACTGTGGCCTCAAGGATCGTCAGAGCTGCCCTTTCTTCTGGGATTGTGCTGCCTCCCTCTGTGGGCCAAGGCAGCTCCCAGCCTGGAGCCCGAGGGGGTCTGCCACACACCCCCAAGCTGTGGGAGAGGCAGCCCATTGGGTGGGCCTGGCTGACCATTTTTATACTGTAGGTGGGTTAGTGTGCCAGGTGAGCAGCCAGCTGCACTGTGTCCAGGGATCTGGGACATGGCCGATTGTGAGTCCTGTCTCTCCCTTTTGGCCGAGAGCCATCCAGGCAGACCTGGGGTGTGGTGGAGCCCCTCAGAAGTCTCATCATATTCTGTCCCGTGTCCCCCACAGGCTGCCCTGCTCCCGTCCTTTTTTTTTTTTTTTTTTAATAAAATTTTTTTATTTTAAAGAATAAAAGAAGGATAACATAATAATAGGGGGGACTTAGCAAATTACAGACAAAATGGTAGGAAATTTCCCGTCCTTTTTTTGAGACAGGGTTTCACTGTGGAGTTCAGGCTGGCCTTGAACTTACTATGTAGCCCATAGTGGCTTCAAATTCACAGTGATCCTCCTGCCTTAGCCTCCCAACTGCTGGGATTACAGGTGTGCACAACCACGCCTGGCCCCTGCTCCCATCTTGGTACACTGTGGAACAGTGCTGTCCCCTAGGCTTTCTGCCTGGCCATTTTGGTAGCTGGCTGTGTTGTTTGTGCTCCGCCTGCTGCCAGTGCCAGTGCTGAGCTCCAGAGCCACAGAGGTGAGACTGAGCTCAGCCGACTGGCTAATTATTCCCCAAGCTCTCCTCAGGGTGAATGGCGTGGAAACAGCCAGGCTTGTCTTCTTTTTTTTTTTTTTTTTTGGTCTCTTTGAGCCAGGGTCTCGCTGTGCAGCTCAGGCTGGCCTTGAGCTCACCTTGTAGCCCAGGCTGGCCTCTAACTTGCAAGGCCTCCCAAGTGCTGGGATTACAGATGTGCACCACCACAGCCAGCCTAGGCTTGTCTTCTTTGTCCCTGAGAACAAGTGCAGTGTGTTTTCCTTGTCAGACAGACGGGTGGTCTTTTTACTGCTTAGGCTTGCGCCCACATCACTCTGTGCTTTTGAGAGCTGCCAGCATGACCCGTCCCATTAGGCTTCAGCTGCTTCCTTCCCTACACTGCAGTAGACACATGGCCCATGGTCATCGCAGGGTGCACTGGGAGGAGCACACACCTGGAAACAGCGCTTCTATCCCAGAGACACGGAGGTGCTTGTGCCACCCCATGTCCATGTCCTCTGTGCACCAGCTCCAGGAAGCACCACGTGGGCCTCTGGGCAGGAGCTGCAGCAGAGGCAGTGGGACATCCAGCTCCCCAGGCACCGCAGCGTGGCTCTCATGGTAGCAGCAAGGCACAAGCTTGTGTGCGTGGAATGTGGAAGAAGTCTGTTCCAAGTCCTGGTGCCCAGAGCAACCCCAGCTGTGACTGACATGTCCATTTCTAGCTTTTTTGAGCTCACAGGCAGTGACTTGAAGGCACATTCCAGTGATGACTCTTCATCTCCTGGGTGGTGTGTTTTTTTGTTTGTTTGTGTGAGGCTGAGGATTGAACCCATGTGCTCTACCACTAAGGCATGTGCTCTGCTACTAAGCTACATTCCCCCAGCCCTTTTAATATTATTTTGGAGACGTGGTCTAAGTTGTTTAGGCTGAACTGAAACTTGCAATCCTGCCTCAGCCTCTGGAGGAGCTGGGATTACAGGTTTGTGCTACTGTACCTGGCTCATCTGCTGGGTCTCTCCATAAATGAAATCACATCTTTTCATAGTTTGATTTTCTCGCCTAGCCATGCTCCAGGGCTCACCTGGTATTCCTCTGCAGTGTTCATCACTTGTTGATTCCAGACCACAGTGGGCAAGTGACACTGTGGTAGGAAGCACCCTACAAGGAGCTGGGCCTGCACACCCACTTGCTCTTTCTTTCTCTCCTTTCCCCTCTCCTCCCCTCCTTTCCCTTTTCCTTTCCTTTTGGTCATTTATTTCTGTGTTGTTTTGGTCCCTTTTTGGAGACAGGGTCTCATTCTGTAGTCCAGTCTGGTCTCAAACTTGCAATGCTCCTTAGTACTGAGACTACAGATGTGGTGCCCCACCATGGCCAGCTTCTACCTGCTATTTCTATAGATGTTTCTCCTGCTTGCCATGGGCCCTGCCTTGTGCAGTCAGGGGCCCTGGTCCAGAAGTCATCTCCAACATGTGTGGGCCATGACCAGCCAGGCCAAGCCACTGACCCCTGAGAGCCTCTTGGGCAGCCTGAAAGATGGTGCTGGGGGTACTGAGTAGTCCAGTCTCCCTCTCTACAGTGGCATAAGTGCCCCTGCCCAGCCTGCATATCCTTTCCACAGCATCTTCCCACTAGGCTGTGCCTCTCAGGAGAGACTGAGCAGGCAGTAGGTGTGCCATGCAGCTGATCGGGTCTTCCCAAGAGATGTCCCCTCACTCAGGGTTTGAGGCCACAGTGAGAAATGGCACTCCTTTAGGGACACAAACCGACTGCATAATCAGCAGGAAGCTGAGTACCAACTCCGTGTGAGTGGTGGTATAGATGGACACAGGCACAGGTCCATGCCTTCCTTGGGCTGAATTTCCACCTGGCAACCTCCCCCTTCTCCAGGGGTGGCTCAGGGTTCAGCTCTGCAGTCAGCCCAGACAGGAGGTGTTTCTAGGATGCTGAAGTTTCTACCTTTGAGACCCAGGAGGAATCATAGTGAGAACAACTGGGTTCTCTGTAGGACTCCCAGCCTACATGCTCCTTTTTTTGTTTTGTTTTATGAGACAGGGTCTCTCTGTGTAGTTCAGCCTGGTCTTGAACTTGTTATGTAGCCCTTACTATGTATGAACTATGTATGAACTCTTGGGGATCCTCCTGCCCCAGCCTCCCAAGTGCTGGATTATAGGCATGTGCCACTATCCCCAGCTATAGGATCTCTTCTTGACATCTGTCCTGTGCTCTGACAGCCAGTTAGGCCTGGCAGGGTGCCATCCTACACAGGGCTGTCATGCTGCTCTCATGTGGCCTGACCACTGCCACTGCACTGCCCTCCCATCTCCTGGGGTGCCGGCCCTTCAGAGTAGCAATGACTGGGCTATTCAGTGAGTGCCTGGATTGGGGAGAGGGTGTGATCCTCTGCAGGGTCTCCTTGTCCTTGAGCTCCCACCTTGCATCCCCTGAGGATGGGGCTGCGCCCAGCCCAGTACACATTGAAAGTGGAGTGTGGCCCAGAGATGGTGCATCCTCCTGTTTTTGCTGTCCTCATTTTGTGGACGGATGGTCCAAGGCCCTGTGTGATCAGCTGCATGTGCATTTTTGTGCATACCCTGATGGAGCCACCTATGTTGGCTGAGCCTGTGCCTTCAGGGACACATCCCAAGGACCCTCCCTCTTTTTTTTTTCTTTTTCCAGTACTGGGAATCGAACTCACAACGTCATGCTTGCCAGGCAGGCACTGTGCCACTGAACTAAATCGCCAGCCCCAAGGACCGCCCCCCCGCCCCCTGAGTGTGACTCTGGTACCAGGGGTTGAGGCTGAGTGTATTTCTCTTTGCAGTAGCAATGCAGGGTCCCTGGACAGACTCCTCCCACCTGTGGGTACTGGGCGCTCACCCCGGAAGCGCACCACCAGCCAGTGCAAGTCTGAGCCACCCCTGCTGCGCACGAGCAAGCGTACCATCTACACGGCAGGGCGGCCTCCCTGGTACAACGAGCATGGCACTCAATCCAAGGAGGCCTTCGCCATCGGTGAGAGCAGTATAGGTGGACATCTCTGGGACTCATCTGTGTAGCCGGCCCTGCTGCTCCTGATCAAGAGGGTCTCTTCTTCCCTGGTAGGGCTGGGAGGTGGCAGTGCCTCTGGGAAGACTACTGTGGCCAGGATGATCATCGAAGCACTAGATGTGCCCTGGGTGGTCCTGCTGTCTATGGACTCCTTCTACAAGGTAAGGCACTGCTCAGCTCCCTGGAGCACCATGCATCCTCCCTCTGACCTCTGTGTCCCCTGCAAATGCAAACATATGATCCCTGGGCCTCAGCAGGGCTGGGCCAGGGGCTGTCGACAAGGGCCCACCTTTGTTTCGTGGCTCCCACAGGTGCTAACACAACAGCAGCAGGAGCAAGCAGCCTGCAACAACTTCAACTTTGACCATCCAGATGCCTTTGATTTTGACCTCATCATTTCCACTCTCAAGAAGCTGAAGCAGGGCAGGAGTGTCCAAGTCCCCATCTATGATTTCACCACTCATAGCCGAAAGAAGGAATGGGTAGGCCCAGGGCTGCAGAGGGTGGTGCAGAGGTGTGAGCTAAGCCTTGAAATTCCCCGGGTTTCTTTGCAGAAAACACTCTATGGTGCAAATGTCATCATCTTTGAGGGCATCATGGCCTTTGCTGACAAGACGCTGCTGGAGGTGAGGACCTGGTAGGAGCACCCATCACACAGGTGTCCCTGTGCCCTAAATATGCGTCCTCCAGCAAGGCCCTATTGTCTATCCTCAAGGCCATCACTCTGTTGCCTGAGTGGGCCCCTCCCCAGCCCCAGGAGGCTGCAGGAATGCTCCAGCCATGGTAGCTTGGCTGGGCAGCATGGCAAGGTGTAACTGCTCGGGACAGTTGTTTCCTCTTCCACCTGCTGAGTCCTGTGCCTGTGTCTGCCATGTTCTTCACATTCTTGTTTCTTGCTCAGGTACAGGTGAGGACTAGAGGCCAAGGAGTTTACAGGGCTTTACTGTAGCTCAAATGGACTGAGTTTGACCATGGCTCAGGCCCAGGGGATGCCACTGTCTGGCACACAGCAGTACCCACCCCCAGTGTAGCTCCTCAAGGGACATCTTCCATATGCTAAGTGGCAGGGCCACTCCCAGAGCTCACCGAGTCTCAAATCCCCAGTATTCACAGGAGGTGCTTTGAAGTGTGTTATGCTGCCAGCACTGCTCCTACTTGACTCTGTCCTGAGTGCCTGACCTATAGCGCCCCCTACCACATACCTGAACCTTAGCACCCACAGGCACCCCACAGCTCTTGTGTACACATCGGGATGCACACTCGCGCCCATGCTTCTGGCCAGGCTCAGCACACAGATCAGGTCTCACGGCAGTAGCTGACTCCACATGGCCATCTTGCTCTGCTGGTGACGGTGCCCTCCTTGGCAGGCCTGTGGAAGCCTTGTTGGCGTAGGACTCAGGTCCACTCGTTGGTTCACTGTCCCCATAGCTCCTGGACATGAAGATCTTTGTGGATACAGACTCTGACATCCGACTGGTACGGCGGCTGCGCCGGGACATCAGCGAGCGAGGTCGGGACATCGAGGGTGTCATCAAGCAGTACAATAAGTTTGTCAAGCCTGCCTTTGACCAGTACATCCAGCCAACCATGCGCCTGGCAGACATTGTGGTACCCAGAGGTAAGGCTGCCAGGCCACTGCTACAGGGTTGGACAGACAGGCAACCCAGCTTCTGAGCTGCCCTCCCCCGTCTGCCCAGGGAGCGGGAACACGGTGGCCATCGACCTGATCGTGCAGCACGTACACAGCCAGCTGGAGGAGGTGAGCCAGCCAGACGCAGCCGAGTCCCTGCCACTCTGCCACCTGCGGTAGCCTGTGTTCTCTGTCCCCCATACTGTCTATCCCACGGAGGTGCTAGCCTTTGAGGGTCTTGGGCCTGCTCTGTCAGCCTAGCCCCCAGCCCCTCGTGCTGCCGGGCCACCCCATCCACAGCTGAAGAATGGCCTTGCATGGAGGGCATACTCCTGTCCCTCCCAACCCTTTGGGGACAAAAGAGATTCACTGCCTCACTGGCCCAGAACCACGGGGTCTCAGTGCTGAGTCCCACACGAGGCAGTGGCTCCTGTCTCACTGTTCTGGGAATGGCACTCTGCAGGAGCCACGGGGGATGCTTGTGGCTGGTCTTCGAGTCTGGGTGTGCCCTTCAGCCACTGGCACAATGATTACTACGCTGTTGGAGGCCTGGAGCCTGCAATGGGCGCAGGGGACCTGGCTTGCACTGCCCCAACTGAAACCACAGGTTGTGGCCCAAATGGTCCCAGGCTCGAGGCTATAGGAGCTCGCCCCCTCCCACTGCTGGCAGCTTCCTGGGATTTTCCCCACAGGGCTATAGCCTGTCCATTCCTGGGTGGGGGGAGTCCAGTGCCTGCCCTGGTCACTGACGCATCACCCATTCCCTTGTGTTTCCTTGTGTTGCTGCCACAGCGTGAACTCAGCGTCAGGTAAGACTTCCACCGCTTTCTGCACAGACGGAGGCATTTCCAACATCCACATGGAGCCGCAGGGCTGAGCTGGTACCAGGCCAGGCAGCAGGTGGCCCTTCTGATGTGGAAGGGCAGAGTGGCCCTGCTTCTGCTTCCCCTGTGGGCAGATAAGAAGTCTGAGACACAGAGAGTTTCAATAACTTGCCCCAGATCACACAGTACCTGTGCTGGCCCACTTGGGTAGAGGTTTCTGTCTGTAGGACCCAGCAGCCAGAGGGCCTGGCCCTGCCTCCGCACTGGCTTGGGGATTGAGGCCTCAGCCCCTCCGACGCCCTCCTTGTCTGTGTTTCATCCCTCTCTGTCCTTCGGCCACTGGTGCAATGCTTAGATGAACCTAGTAGGCAGCAACCAAGCACCTGCCCAAGCCTTGGACAGCACCAGGACCCTGCGGGGATAGGAAGCTCTGGCCGACCCACCCTGGGGGTGCTTAGAAATGCCTCCGGGGCCACCTTCCTGCCACCCTGCTTCTGGTCCCTGCATGCCTCTCTGCTTGTCCCTCACCAAGACCTGGGCAGTGCAGGCCTCCTGTCAGGTCCATCATGAAGCTTTTGTCTGAGAAGTTTCCAGGCTGTGGCTAGCTCCATTTTCCATTCTCTGGTCACCCAAGGAAGTGGTGGCCAGTGCCCCACCTGCCTCCTTCAGCCACAGGAAGTGGACGGCAGCAGGAGGGAAGGCTGCTCAAGCTCAAGCAGGCGCCCGGCCTCCTCACCTCTGCCCTCCGGCTGGGACCGACTGCAGGGACACTGATGCTCTCCCCACTAAGTGGTCTTCTCTCTGTTCTTTTCCTCTGTGTAAACCCGTTTCCTGCCTTGTTCCCTCCCTGAACACGCTCTTCACCTGGCGAGCAGAGGAAGCTGCGTTGGGATATGTGAGCAGAGAGCGCTCTGATTGTGCTGCGCTGTGTGCCTCCCGCCCACCACACCGTGCCCCCTGCCCTCCTACAGCCCCATCCCTGCACCCCTGCTCCCCCTCCCAGCCCCTCTGCATTCCCACATAGCCCCCATTGCCTCCCCCACCCTGCTGCCCTGTCCAATCCATCTTACCCCTCTCACACTGTCTTCCCCCTTCACCCCCCCCACCTCTGTTCTTGCACGCCCCCTACCTCCACCTCGCCCTCCTCCTCCCCTCTCAGGCTGCGGGGGCAGCCAGCCCTGCTGAGCCTCCTCTGCCTTCTCTGCTGGGGGCCCTGCACTGCCTGGCGGTGTGGGCCTGGGCAGGGCTTGACCCACTGCCCAGCTGTTCTTCCAGGGAGAGGTTGGGGACAAGCTTCTTCTCCTGGGACTAGGACTTATCACCACTGTGAGCCCACCCTCTGCTGCTTGGGCCCCTGTGGCTTCCTCTGAACCTGGAGGGCAGCCCCTTGCCCCCCAGCCCCATGGCCAGCTGCTGCCCTCTGCCCTCTGCCCTTCATTTGGCAGTGAAGGTGGGGCAGCATCTGTCCTGAGCCCCATCCTCAGATCAGCCACAGCCAGGCAGCCAGCACCCACCCTGCCAGCTGCCTTCCCCATAGCTGCCCTGGGGCAAGGAGGGCCCTGGGATAAGAACCCCATTGGTGAGTATCCCTAATCGGTTTGTGTCCCCAGGGCCGCCCTGGCCTCAGCACACCAGTGCCACCCCCTCCCCCAGACACTGAGTGTCCTCAAGAGCACACCTCAAGTTCGTGGCATGCACACCATCATCAGGTGAGCACCCACCTGATGGGGTAGGGCAAAGTGGGGCAACCCCAGGAGCCTACCCTGCTAAGCTAAGTCCATCCACCCTGCAGGGACAAGGAGACCAGCCGGGACGAGTTCATCTTCTACTCCAAGAGGCTGATGCGGCTGCTGATTGAGCACGCCCTCTCCTTCCTCCCCTTCCAGGTGAGGTGCTGCCCATGGGGTGGGCTGGGGCAGGGATGGGGCAAGGGGCTTGGTGCTCACAGATACCTGGCTCCTTCTATACAGGACTGTGTGGTGCAGACTCCACAGGGCCAGGACTACGCGGGCAAGTGCTATGCAGGGAAGCAGGTATGCAGGGCCAGGGCCGGCTGGCAGCTGGAGGTAGGTGGTGGGCTCACTCTCCCTCCTTCTTCCCAGATCACAGGTGTGTCTATCCTGCGTGCTGGGGAGACCATGGAGCCTGCACTGCGTGCTGTGTGCAAAGATGTCCGCATTGGGACCATCCTCATCCAGACCAACCAGCTAACTGGGGAGCCTGAGGTGCTGAGATCACAGGGAAGGGCTGGGGGGTGCAGGGAGCCCAAAGGGGATGCAGCTCACCCCTCACTGCCCACAGCTCCATTACCTGCGCCTACCCAAAGACATCAGTGACGACCACGTGATTCTGATGGACTGCACAGTATCCACAGGCGCAGCCGCCATGATGGCAGTGCGTGTGCTCCTGGTAAGTGGGCCCCATATGGGCACAGAGGCTCCTGTGGGGTGGTGGGAACTAACCTGGCCTTTGCCCTGGCCAGGACCATGATGTGCCTGAGGACAAGATCTTCTTGCTATCACTGCTCATGGCGGAGATGGGTGTGCACTCCGTGGCCTACGCATTCCCTCGTGTGAGAATCATCACCACAGCTGTGGACAAGCGCGTCAATGACCTTTTCCGTATCATCCCAGGCATTGGTGAGGCTTCCTTGGCCCTCTCATTGGTGCCTGAGGACAGGGTGTGGCCTCAGAGGCGCCATCACACTGGGCTGTTTCTTTCAACAGGGAACTTCGGTGATCGATACTTTGGGACAGATGCCGTCCCCGATGGCAGCGATGAGGAGGAGGTGGCCTCCACAGGCTAGACTTCCAGGCTGAGCCATCAGTCCCCACCCCACTTTCCCTCCCCCTCCTGTCGGGATTGCAGAGCAAAGGATGTTAACTGAAGCTGTGTGTAGTGTTGCACACCTGTAATCCCAGCACTCAACAGGCTGAGGCAGCAGGGTTGCAGAAGTTCAAGGCCAGCTTGAACTACATAACAAGACCCTGTCTTGAAAAAAAGAAAAGATATTAACTTATTTTAATTTTTTAAAAAGTTACCAAAAATTTTAATCTATTTTATAAAATAAATAAAGCTTTAGAAAATAAAAGTATGACTGGTTAGCTGGGATACAGAGGGTATCCTGGCCAGGACTTAGGCATAGACAGTCTCTCCCAGGCTGCAGGAGATGGCTACCCCATCCCAAGCTATGAGGCCACCATAGGAGATGGGAGGGGGGCCCGGGCTTCCCCCAGCGAGGCAGGGGTTCCCAGGCTTGCATGCACTTCCTTGCAGTAAAGGGTTCAATGCCAGATGGCAATGGGGGCAGGCCAAGGGCTCCTAGAGCCACACAACTTGGTGCCACCCAGCCTGGACTCAGGAAGGATACAGTGCCGCTTAGGGTTCTGAGTGTCACAAGTCAGCCTCTGACCACTTCCCCCATGTTTGTACCATCAAGGGACCCAGCGGAAGTCAGTGTGTGGGCAGCTGTGGGAAGGACTGAGTCGTGGAAAGAGCCCTACTGCAAGCACAGGGCCAGGGCCTCTGTGGGGCAGTCCCCCTGGCCAAAGTTGGACACACCCCCAAGCCTTTTCTGACACATCTGGACTCCACAGTGAGGGCCAGCTTCTCTGGCCATGCTGGTCCTGCCTGAGCAGCGTGACACAGACATAAGTGTATATATGTAGGTGCTGATCTCCAGGCAGGTGGTGTGGGATCTAAGATCGGCATGCTGCAGAACTCCCTGTCCATCCAGGCCTGGTTGACACCTTTTGGCCAGCTCACCCTGCCGCCTAATGGCCTGTCATGCAAAAGCTTGTCTTGGGGCGGGGACAGGAAATTGCTGGGCGGAAGTGGTAGCCTGCACATAAAGCAGCTGGCTTGTCCAAGGGGCAGCCAGTACCGGGGACAGAATTGAAGTAGGACTGCAAGGCCAGCAGGAGGGCTACCTCCAGGGTGAGTGGACCCCTCCCTTGTCTCCAGGACCCTGGCCCACTGGCTCACTCTCAGACTTCGGGCTGGAAACCTGCAGACCACACATCCTGGGGGCTGGAGCCTGGGGAGGTACGCTTCCTTCCAGCCAGGTTTTGGGTGAGGACTGAGGAGCTGGCAGGCAGGGTCCAGGCCTTCCGGGGAGGGTTCTACCCAATTCCAGTGAGACAAATTTGCTCCCAGAGAACCAACCAAACCATGCATGCATGTGTGCGTCAACACTACCATCCACACATGTGGTAATGCAGCCACACAGCACACATCACAGACACAGAGGCACATATAAGTGTGCATGGTGGGGCTCAGGGATGGAAGCATGGGCCACCAGCACCTAGGAAAACGGGGCTTCATCCCCTTTTTTTTGGACCCACCCCTTTTTTCCAGTACTGGGAAATGAGACACAGGTCCTTGTACATACTAAGCAAGTGCTGTAGCTCTAAGCTATATCCCCAACTCTAAAAAACTTTATTTAAAAAATTATTTACTGTGATAAGGTGTGGGTAACAGTGTACCATCATGACTTTCTTTTTTTTTTTTTTTTTGGTGCTGTGAATCAAACTCAGGACCTTGTGCTTGCCAGGCAGGCACTTACGCCACTGAGCTATATCCCCGGCCTTAAAAAATTATTTAAAGACAGATTCTTGCTAAATTGTCCAGGTGCTCTAGAAGTTGTGACATTCCTGCTTCAGCCTCCCAAGTAGCTGAGTGGAGGCATGCACCAGTACCTAGCTTATCCTTATTTTAAGATAGGGTCTTTATTTATTGATTGATTGATTTTTTTTTCAGTACCAGGCATCGAACTCATGACCTTGCACTTGCCAGGCAGGCACTGTGCCACTGAGCTAAATCCCCAGCCTGAGATAGGGTCTTTTTTGTTGTTGTTGTTTTCCGGTACCAGGAATTGAACTCACAACCTTGCACTTGCCAAGCAGGAGCTGTGCCGCTGAGCTAAATCGCCAGCCCAGGGTCTTGATGTGTAGTTCAGGATGGTCTTGAACTCACTATATAGCCCAGGCTGGCCTTGAACTCACAGCAATCCTGCCTCAGCCTTACCAGTGTTGGGATTATAGGCATGCACCTCCACACCTGGCTTTATGCTTCTTCTTAGGGTCAGTGAGGGGCCTAGAATAGATCTTGCAAGCAGAAGGCCTGAACCTGCGGCCCCAAGGACCAGGATCCAAGCCCTTCCTAGGAGAGCAACACAGCTACCAAAGGCACTGGGACTTCCAGACCCAGGCAATGCTTGGTGTCAAGCCCAAGCATGGGCAGAGCTCTCCAGGGAGCCTGTTGAGGTTCTGATTTGGGGCTGGGGCCAGGAGGTGTTGTGCTGTCCTCCAGGTACCTTGGTTCTTCCGAGGTTAGTGCAGGCTGAGGGGTGAGGTCAGCACCCAGGAGGAAGGGAGGCCCAGAGCAGGGTGTGTGGGACTGAGGTCAATTAATGGCAGCAGGGCCTGGGGTGGGCTGGATGCAGACCTGGAGCCCCTCCTGAAGTCCACCTGTTCTGGTTCTAACAGCTGCCCCTGGGCGGTGCCTCCAGGACTGTCCAGCCTGAGAATGCTAAGTCTCCAGGTCAATCTCAGGTTTGTCAGTCCGTGAGGTGCTGCCCCTTCCCCAGCGTCAGCTGTCAGATGACAGTGGGTACCCTGGGCTGGTGGGGTGGGAAGCCTAGGGTGCCCAGCAGAAGGCACAAGTCCATGGTTAGGAAAATGACCTGGGGGTCATCGTGTGCTGTGAGCAGTGTGACGTCTGGGATGAGCTAGAGAACGATCTGCCCCTCACAGCGCCTGAACTGGGCCAGCGGAAGCCAGAAAGCACCAGGCAGAGGTGTCTGGACTCCCGGGCTCTCCAGCCTAGTGTCAGGCCCAGCTGCTGCAGGATTTTTCCTGGGCGAAAGGCCTCCTGGATGGAACACCGTCAGAGCTGGACAGCTTCCGGGGGTGGGCAGGAGGCAGAAGGCAACCAGAGAGGCCCCCGGAGGTTAGGGGGCTTTCGAGACTCCCCTGGCAAGTGGACGGGCTTGGGAGTGGGGAAGCGGGAAGGGGCGGCGCGAGCTGGTGAATCCCCTGCCCTAGTCAGCCCCGCGAGTCCCTCAGCTACATCCCTACCTACGTCTTCACTGTTAAATCGGCAGAGGGCTTGCTGCGTCGCTCACGCTGATACGTGGACGCTGAGCGCCCAGGGAGGGACTAGGCTGGGAGCAGTGGCGACTTCGGGGACCCAAGCAGGCGGCGCGGACCCCAGGCTCTCCTCAGCACGCGCCCCATTCCCGCACGGCCGGCGCCAAGATGTGAGTCGCGAGTGTCCTGACGGGTTAGGGTTAGGCTGGGACAGACAGGGCCCGGGCGCTGGAGTTCTCCGCCCCTGCTCCCGCCCAGCGCGGCCTCGGAGGTCCGGCCGCTCCTCCTCCTCAGCCTGGCCATCTTGGGTCCTCCCCGGGCTCCCCGCGCCTTCCTCCTGTGGCCCCTCAAGGGCGTCACCGCCGTCGCGGCCGCCAGCCTGGTCTCCGGACTATCCCGCCGCGCCC